AAGTGGCGAAATGGAAAGTGTAATTGAATTCGAGGTTGCTTGGGGTTGTTTTGTTGTTGGGGAGTATTGGTGAAGTAGGCTGTTCATTTTGTTTAGTTGATTCTGCGTTTTCTGGGGAATAGAGGCGTGAGAAAAGTGGTGAATTGAAAAGTGTAATTGGATTCGATGTCGATTAGAACTGTTTTCTTTTTTGGAAGTTATTGGTGGAAGTAGATTGTTCATTTTGTTAAGTTCTGTGTGATTTTGCTTGTAGAACGACGTGGTTTGTTTTCGTATGTTGTTCGTTGTTTTGATGAAATAAAAATATTCGAATTATTTCAATAGATATTTAATTATAATGGATAACTAAATTATATTGTGGACTTCATAACTATGAAAATTTTGTAGGAAATATGGAGTTTTAATTAATGATAATATTTCTGTATAACTAGAGTTTCGGAAGTTTGAAATCTATATGTTTTAATTAAAGATTTACATAGAGTTACTCATTTGATAGAAGAAAGAAATTCTTAGATAATTTGCTAAGTACGTTTGGTTCCTAATAATATTCTAATTCAATTAGTTTCCATCTGGTTACATCGAAGTATCTTAAACATATAAATTAAATAAAATCGTTGTTTCGATTTATTTGATTATTCAGAATCATGGTAGGTAGATAAACGCGTTAGACAGGCCGAAGGAAATCATATTTTTACGGAAATTCAAACGCACCGTACGAACGTTATTTAGGAGAACAACGATCCGGACATCGTGAGTGACAAGCATGAATATCAAACGCGTGCAAATTCGGCAGAGGAAGCTGTCAAGCCAAGTACAGAATGGAACGCGAGAAACGCGAAGCGTAAGCTACAATATTTCACCCTCGACAAAGCAAATTTTTGTTTCGAGCTCCAGCTACGGTCTGACCGAAAATAAAAAGCAAAAATGCCGTAGTAATATGGCGAAGTGAATTTCAACGCAACCTATTAATTATTTACTCTTTGTTCTGTGCAGAGGCAGACACAGCATTCGGTTTTATTCGAATAGTCACGTATTTTATGAATTTCTGCTGAAAGAATATTACGAATCGTAGTGTAGAATTTTCGATAGAATTGTATATTTCCAAGGTAATCGATTTCAAAAGTTTATTCGTCGAGCTTACATTTATGAATAGTAGAAATGATGTGTTATGAACAGTATTAGTCGATTTCTATTAAATATCACGCAATTTTCAAATTTTTAAACCTTTAAATTTTCAGACACGACATTCGTTTCATATATTTAGATTTCCAAATTTTTAAGCTTGCAAATTTTTAGGCCTTTAAATTTCAAACTTTAAACCTTTAAATGTTGAAACTTTCAGGCGTTGAAACTTTTAAACATTCAAATATTTAAACATTCAAACATTCAAACCTTCAAACATTCAAACTTCGAAACTTTAAAATTTTCAAACATTCAAACTTTCAAACTTTCAAACATCCAAACCTTCAAACATTCAATCTTCGAAACTTTAAAACATTCAAACATTGAAACTTTCAAACTTTCAAATATTCAAACCTCCAAAACCTCCAAACCTTCAAAATCACGAAGTCACAAACCACAAAATTCTCAAACTAAGTTTCTCCATCAATTGACATTTTAAAACGACAACAATACCCATGGAAACCAGTGCACAATAAAATATCCGAACCAGTCGCGCGCCGTAGTAACATAATTAACGCGCGATCCATTTTCAGAATGGAATACGGGATCAAACGTGAACCGCTGCGTGATTAACTCGAATCATTCGATCGAGTGATTTTATTTCGAACGTCGATACGCGTGCGCGTGTTTTCCTGTAACTATAATGCCGTTCTAAACCGAGAATTAGGTGCGCGACGCACGGACATGTTTGCGTTTGCTCAACGGTGAAATATGAACGGACCGGTAATTCGGTAAACGATGCTAGGGATCGATTGAAAATATTTGTTTGCCGCTTGTTCGGTTACGCGGCGGTGTAATTCATTCACGCGGTTCTGGGGCCAAAGTTTTCGCAGCCGGGAATGTCATGTCGATACTGTCGACATGAATTTCATAATGGCATTTCAGAGGGCCAATCGCGGAATATGTTAGGACGAAGTTGGAACTGTATCAATACTTCGACGGGAGTGCATCGTGAAACTTGCCACCTGCCGCAGATGTTTTCTGAAAACTCTTGTTTACGGTATCTGTGAACTTAAATGAAAGTATGCGTCGCACGAGAGATAAAGGAAAGCTTTTAGTTTGGAAAATACTGTTCGTTAAGCTTCATTAACACTGTTTCCATCGAACGCGTCGAGTGACATCTTTTGGAATTTGAACATAAAGTTACTTCATCGTCATCAATCGAGAATAAAGAATTAACCTGAGAAGATAATTTTAAGTTAAAAGTTGCACGAGAGATAAAGCTTTTAGTTTGGAAAATATTGTTCGTTTAGCTTCATTAACACTGTTTCCATCGAACGTGTCGAGTGACATCTTTTGGAATTTGAACTTGAAATTATTTTCCTAGCTTATTCTCAGTTGACTTCTCAATTTCTCCAACAAAGTTTATAAAATTAACTATAGAAAATATCAAATCAATCGGGAATAATGAATTAACCCGAGAAGATAATTTTAAGTAAAAAATTGCACGAAAGATGAAGAATCATGTTTTTAGTTTGGAGAATACTGTTCGTTTAGTTTTATCAACACTATTTCCATGGAAAGTCTACTTGAATAAATTATTGAATTTTACTCGTAGTTCAATTAAAATGCAATCACCGAGGAACAATTCTTTGAGTAATTGAAAAATCGTGGGATTGCATAACTTGTGATATATATGTTTCAATATATCGTTCGGCGTTTCTCATTCGAATTCTGACACGAAAGACAGAACAGGGTATTGATCCGCGTAGGTTATTTTCCTTGGTCCGGCATCAAGTTTAATTCAGCACGGTATAAATCGATAATGGTTCATCAATGTCGCTCTGATATGGAAAAGTGAATAATGTCATTCATAAACCATCGCTCAGCGTCACTGTTCTAAAATTCCAGCCTGATTTCGGGACGGAGCATTAATCAGGTGATAAAGAAACTGATCAGTTATTCTGCACGCAATTTGTTTCTCTTCACGTCCCGTTAATTGATGTTTCTCCTCGGATAATGTTGAATATTCCGAACAGGTAATCGTCGTTAATTAATTGTTCCTTGATGTAGTAACATTATTTACGGAGTGAACTTCATTTTCATTAACAGCTCGAATTTCTGTTAATACACTAATAAATTAACGATTTCCAAAAATTTGCAACTGAAGTTGAAATTTATTTCTGAGTTTTGCACGTTAATGAAGTTATATCAATATTAACAAATAGATCTTTTCTATTTAGTTACTACTTAATATTTATTATTACTGTTAATATTAATATTTTTTATTGCTATTAGAGTCTTAATATTTTCATGACTATAATATTATTACTAGAATTTTGATATTTAATCTAATTCTAATATGTTCATTCTTTTAATTACAATTTTTACGTTTCGAAACTATTAATATCAA